GTACAAATTACCAAAAATGAATCAAGAAGATATAGCAAATCTCAATAACCCAATAACAACCATTGAAATACAAAATGTAATAAAAAGCCTGCCAACAAAGAATATTCCATGTCCTGATGGATTTAAAGCTGAGTTCTACAACAAATTTACAGAGAACATAATCCCTACACTCCTCAAAATCTTCAATGAAATTGAAAAGAAAATAGTTTTCCCAAAATCATTCCTGGAGACAAGTACTATACTGATGACGAAACAAGGGAAAGACACAGCTAAAAAAGAACTACAGGTGAATCTCCTTCATGAACATAGAAGCGAAAATCCACATAAAATCCTAGCAAATGGAGAAATTCATCAAGAAGATCATACATGATGCCCAGGTAGGATTTATCCCAGGGATGCAAGGATGGTTCAATATTAAAAAATCTATAAAAGTAACACACTATATTAATAAATAAAAATCTAAAAACCACGTGATCATCTTCATTGATGCAGAAAAGGCTTCTGACACATCCAACACTCATTCATGTTCAAAGCCTTATAGAAAATTGGAATAGTAGGCCTCTACTTCAAATTAATAAAACAATGAATGACAACCCAATGACTAATGTAATTCTACATGGAGAAAAGTGAAATCTTTTTCTCTCAGATCTGGTATAACACAGGGCTGTCCTCTGTCTCTATTCCTATTCAATACATTTCTGGAAGCATTAGCTAGAGCCATTAGACAAGAGAAAGAAATAAAAGGAATAAGAATAGGTAAAGAAGTCAAATTATCATTATTTACAGATATGTGATACTTTATTTGGAAGACCCAAAAAACTCCATGAAGAAGATACTAAAACTGATATACAAATTCAATAGCATAGCAGTATACAAAGTCAATATCCAAAATTAAATAGTATTCCTCTACACAGATAACAAACATATAGAGTGGGAAATTAGAGAAACAATATTTTCACGATAGCACTACAGAAAATGAGATAGCTTGGAATTCATCTAACTAAAGAAGTCAAAGATCTTTCCAAGAAAAATCACAGTACTCATAGAAAAGAGATTTTACAGGATTTCAGAAAATGGAAAGATATTCCCTGCTCCTCGATTGGAAGAACTAACATTGTGAAGATGGCCATACTGCTAAAATTGCCATGCAGATTTAATGCAATCCCTTTTAAACTACCAACAAAGTACCTCCGAGACCTAGAGAAATCATTTCTAAAATTTATTTGGAACCAGAAAAGACCTAGAATATTAAAGGCAATTCTGGCCAAAAATGATAAGACAGGAGGCAGTACAAATCCTGGCTTATAATTATACTACAAATCTAATGTGATAAAATCAGCATGGTATTGGCAACAAAATAGACATAAGGATCAATGGAATAGATTAGAAGATTCAGAAGCCTCTATAAAGACACTCAGCCCCTGATCTTTGATGAAGGGGCCAAACACGCTTACTGGAAGTAAGATAGCCTCTTTAACAAATGGAGCTTGAAAAACTGGCTTTCTTCATGAGGAAAACAAAATCTTGACCCAGGTATATCACCATCCACTAAGCTAAAGTCAAATTGGACTAAAGATCTAAACATTAAAACAAATACATTAAATCTCCTGGAAAAGAAAGTTGGAGGTACTCTTGAAGAAAAAAGGGTAGGCAAAGAGTTCATGAAGAAAAATCAAATCACATGGGTAATAGTTGAAAGAATTTACAAGTGGTACTACCTCTTATTGAGAAGTTTTTGCACATCAAAAGAAATTGCCAACAAAGAGAAAAGACAAACCACAAATTTGGAAAAAATCTTAACTAATAACAGTCAGACAAAGGTCTGCTCTCTAGAATTTATAAAGAACTAAAAAACATTAGTGCCCCTAAATTTAAAGACCCAATCCAGAAATGGGCATCTAAGATGAACACACACTTCTCAGAGGATGAAATTAAAGAAGCAAATAAATATATGAAAAAATGCTCCACATCACTAGCAATCTTTGAAATGCAAATTAAAATAACACTGAGATACCATCTCACCCCAGAAAGAATGGCTATCATAAACAAATCAACAAACAGCAAATGTTGGAGAGGCCATGGGGAAAAGGGAACTGTTCTCCACTGCTGGTGGGAATGTAGACTGGTGTAATCATTTTGGAAATCAGTGTGCAGATTCCTTAAAAAACTAGGACTGAATATCCCATTCAAGGCTGCTATCCCACCACTGGGAATTTTCCTGGAGGAACTGAAAACATCATATCATGGTGATATATGTGTACCTATGTTTATAGCAGGACAATTTGTGAGAACCAAATCTTGGAAACAAACAAGATACCTGTCGCATAAGGAATGGTTGAAAAATATGTGGTATTTTTATACAATGGAGTATTACTCAGCTATAAAGCATGATAAACTCAAAACCTTCATATTTAAGTGCACTAGAAGATATACTTGTAAACCAAACAAACCATAGGCTCAAGGTAACTGCTCAGTTGTGCAGAACTCTTTCCGTGCTGCTTTTCTCTTGTCTGCTGTGTTCCAGGGCTTGTAGCTTCACCAACATCATTATACCATTTTCTATCTTCTCCATCAAGGGTGATCTTTGAGGTTTGGTGATTTGTTGTATTTCTGTTTCAGTGATTTTCTGGAAACTCCTCATGTATCAGGGTTGGTCAAGTGTACTTTGTTTCTCTCCTAAGAGGAATCACTGTCTTGTGCTTTCTCTCATACAATGACAGAAAACTATAACTTCGTATTGTTATCTGTGTTTTCTTTTTTTTTGTTCATAATTTTATTGATAAACAAGTAGCAATGAGACGGTTTCATGTTATCTGTGTTTTCAAGTCATTGCTTAAGAAAGAATATTAACTCTGATCCTAGAATAGAAACAAAATCTCTTGTTTGCTCATTTTACATAGTTTTAAATATTTTTCATTGATTGCGTGGAGGATGAAGTTAGAGTCACCATATTCCTCATCATACTTCAAGTATGTTTCTGTTCATGTTGATTAAGCAGGTGTTCTGATATAAAATGATTGGGAATTTATGGATCATTATATCTGAGAAAACCTTAAACCAAAATACTCATTTATAACATCAAATCATGTTTACATTTTATATAATTTCAATTGCCTTTGTGATAAATGGGTTTCATGATCTGTTTTGCAGTGGAAATGTATCTCTATTCTTGTAGAGCAAGTTGTGGTCCAAATAGGAAATGTCTGCTTGGAATTGTACTGTCTTGAACACGGAATGATGGCCAGATGCCAAAGTGACAAAACCATTGGCGGTGGAAGGACTCATTCAATACCTTTTTCAGTGAGACTGGCATTAGCAAGCATGTGCCCAGAGCTGTAGATGAAGATGAAATATGTATGGGGACCTACTGGCAGCTCTTCCACCCAGAGCAGTTGATCACAGGGAAGGAAGTAGATCTGGAGCCCACTGTGGTTGGTACATCCTGAAGTCTCAGATACAGGCCTACCTGGAGAGGGTAGGAGAGTTTCAATAACACCTCATACAGTGTCTTTGAATCTCGTAATACCACAGAGATTGTCACACTGGTGCACAAGATTTTTGACTAGGCTGGGGATATAGCTCAGCAGTCTAAGTTCCTGCCTGGCAAACACAAGGACCCAAGTTCCATCCTGGGCACCATATGCCATACTGACCCTGGACCCCTGGGCGTGTTGTACTGGGTCCAAACCAGGGTGTGGTGATGCATGCCTGTAATCCAGCATATAGGGAGGTTAAGACAAGAGAATCACTATGAGTTTCATCAATGTAGTGAGACTCTGTATCAAATAAATAGTTTTTTGACCTGCTTATAGACAAGGGAAATTAAGGATAGAACATTTAATTTGATTTGTCAAGATTAAAAGCCAAAAGTAGATGCAATAAGAGAGAGAAAGAAAAAAATACCTTTAAGTACCCCTCCCAGTAGATGACAGAATGTGACTTTACAGCCTGTGAGACCCTGTCCCCTGACAGGATTGTTCTGCGAGAGGCATGCTGACATGGTTAGTAGCCAGTTTGTAAAGAAGCTTTAAATTATTTCCTTTGTTTTATGGACAGGCGGAAAAGAAATATGGACCTGTAGAATCACTTACTTGAGCATGTGAGAGCTTTTTTCGCTTCAGTAGGAACTAGATCTGTTGGTGTTTGTACCATAAATTACCTTTACCTTCCTAGAGCTATTAAGTACATTTGTAGGTTGCAGAGCAATTTTTTATAAGACATAATGTTGCCCTTTCTTGAACACTGTGCTTTGCAGAATAAAGCTATCCCCAAAGGTATACTTATGTCGAGTACAATAAATCTGAAATGCTTACTAAAATACTTGGTATCTTTGTAGATGAAGTGTGTATGAGGACCTACAGGCAGCTCTTCCACCCAGAGCAGTTGATCACAGGGAAGGAAGTAGATGCACTCAATAATTATGCCAGAGGCCATTACATCATTGGCAAGGAGATTGTGATTCTGGTCCTGGACTAGATATGAAAACTGGTAAGAAAAACCCTGGAAAGTCTTCATGTGGATGTCATTCTCTACAGGAGGGGGTAGGCTTTGTGATGGTCAGAATCAAATCTAACTGAGTCTACAAGGTCTTACTTTCATGCTGTTGATCATTATTATAGTCTGCAGTCTTTTGCATTTAAGTGTAATGTGTGTTTATTATGGATGATTTGAACCCTTATCAACTTACAGAGAAAGAAGTGAGCCTGGCCTATTATATATTGGTGGCATGATTTCTGCAGACTTTGGCTCATGTCATCTGATTTTTCCACAGGCAGATTTGTGCATGGGACTGCAAGGCTTCCTCATCTTTCACAGCTTTGAGGGTAGCAGCGGTTCTGGGTTTGCATCCCTGCTTATTGAGCGGCCCTTAGTGCACTATGGCAAGAAGCCTAAGCTGGAATTTGCTATTTACCCAGCCCACCAGGTTTCCACAGCTGTGGTGGAGCCCTACAACTCTATCCCAATCTCTCACACAACCCTGGAACACTCAGACTGTCTTCATGGTAGATAATGAAGCCATTTATAACATCTGTCAATGCAACCTGGATATTGAACGTCCCGCATGCGCCAATCTTAATCGTTTGATTGGTCAGATTGTGTCCTCCATCACAGCCTCCCTGTGGTTTGATGGAGCTCTGAATGTGGACTTGACTGAACTCCAAGTGAACCTGGTATCATACACCCACATCCACTTCCCTTTGGCCACCTATGCCCCAGTCAACTCTGCTGAGAAAGACTACCATGAACAGCTCTTTGTGGCTGAGATCATCAATGCCTGCTTCAAGCCAGCCAGTCAGATGGTCAAGTGCGAACCTTGTCATGGCAAATACATGACCTGCTGCATGTTGTACAGGGGTTATGTCATTCCAAAAGATGTCAATGCTGCCATTGCCACCATTAAAACCAAATGTACCATCCAGTTTGTGGATTGGTGTCCAACTGAATTTAAGGTAGGACTGAGTGATACATAGTCATTGCATGTGTTAGGCTTGCAAAATCATGCCACTCTTGAGATGAGACTTCCACATGCTTTGGGAAGATTGCCACCTTTCTTGTTAGCGAAGCTGCAAGGGGAATACATATGATAAAGTTCATGAGGGTAATATTTCAATATATGATATTTTGGAAAACAGAGTAGGGTTGGGGCTCTCATTGAGCCAGTGGTAGAGTGCTTACCCAGCATAAGTCTTGAATTCAACACCCAGTCCACAATTTATTTATTTATTTTTTATTTTTTTTTCACAATTTTTTTTAAAAAAACTACAAGGCTGAGGCTAAGACTCCTCTAAGCATCCAAAGCCTCATGCTCTGACTGCTGACCTTGGTCTCACTTCCCCATTGTGCCTCTTAATGCTTAAGGCATTTGTCTGGTTCTGTGATACCAATAGGTGCAGTAGAAATGATGGGTTTTAGACTTCATGACTTCAGTCACCTGGTATCATTGAATTTTAGGCAGCCCTTGTACTTTTGTAAATATAATTTTATATTTCTTCTTTCATCAAACAGTCAAAGCCTGACTTCCAATAGATTACAAGGGAACTGCTCCATTATATGCTGTACACAGTATTTGAAATGTGTATCCTGGTTTTGACTGTGTGACAAGGGGTGGATCTCTCTTTTTTCTCCAAATTGGACTGGGAGTTTTGCTTCTTACACAAAGTCATATTGAAACTAAAAATAAAAAGGATACAAATGAAGGACCATTTTGTATCTGTATATACAAAATAGTTAGGATAGATACACAGCTAATTTCTCTTAATTCAAGGAGAAGAAAGAGTTATACTAATAGTGTTTGGACAGGATAGCATGTGTTCACCTTATATGATGAATAACCACTACGAAGACAACAATATGCAATGTATTAATTATTGAAACTCTCAGTTTTGAAACTGTCTCAGTGCTGTTTGTTTCTCAATAAAATTAATAAGGAAAAGAAAAAGAAAACTTAAGTGGCCTCCTGTGTTTGAAGTTTGAAGTCTACCAAGAGAAAAGCACCATGTATGTGGAAGCCAAATCACAGACTATCAGGCTATCAAACCCATTCTAACCGCTTTGCTAAATGCCTCATTATAACAAGGTTCTACAACTTTTGGACCTCTAGTTTGTTAACAACCCTTGTCTGTGGTGGTTTCCCCTGTGCACTAAAGTTGTGGAGCCCACAGTTGTCAGCTCTGATGAATTCCTAGGATATTGGGATTTTTCAAGTTCCAGGAACATTCTACATTGAAAAGAACATGAAAAGAATCACAGGAATATGTACATTGTTCTTACTTGGGTGACTACAGCTTGGCTATTAGACAGCTTGTTGAGCTCTGTCAGACCCACTTTACCAAAACACACTAGTGAAGACTGCAAAAGTCTTTAAATGATTAAAGTAACTGACAGATAAAGTTTAAGGGGCTTTGGCTCAGTTGTAGAGTGCTTGCCTAGAAAGCTGGAAGCCCTGAGTTTGGTCCTCGGCACCAAAAACCAAAAAAATAATACTCCCTTAGAAAAAGGCTAAATCTACAACAAATTTCTCGAAATCAGAAATATATATTAAGGTTTATGTAGGAGGATTATAAAATGTAGAGCTTATAGATATGAGTTGAAACTTTCCATTCTATGTGTTCAGTTATATGGAACTGAGCAGAAGAATTTTTCTTAAGTAAGAGTTTTTAAAGGTGAAAACATCCAAGGCAACATTAGGGGTAAGACACTCTTGCTTCCCTACGTCTCTTCCCCTAGCTGAGATCCATGAGCCAATATGGAGCCTGGTCTGTGGAATTAAAGTAGCATGGAAGGCTGAAAACCTGCAGTCCTCTTCCCCAAATCATTTTTGTCAGATGATGGATGTTTTGTGCATATTCAATGTAATTGATGTCTCTTGTATGGATGATTTTGGTTGACAAAAAAGCCCCATAGAATTGAGTAAAAGATGCACATTCCTTTTCTGTAAGTAGCAGACCCAATTTATGGCACACAGGTAGCCACACAGAATAGAAAACTGGTAGTGCTTGTGCTTGAACAAGGTGGTTGACCTGGCTTTAAAGTTGTAGGACTATATCCCTGGAGTAAAGTGAGAAATCTCTGTGCCCATCTTCTTGTCCTGTGAATTCTTCCAGAGACTGGCTTTGTGCCCAAGTGCTGATAGTTACCATCAGCTTACCAGGATAGGGAGGGGTCACTGCCTCAACACATTCCCAGGTATTTGTACTCTTTCACTGTCAATATGATGTTCCTCAATCTATACAAGATTTTAGCCAAAGAACATTATTGGATAGGATTCTTTACACATAAATACATAGACTTAATCTACTTTTCTTCTTATTTTGGATTTTGGATATGCTTATGTGCCAGGACAGAGTTCTCATTCTTTTACTTTTTGGGTGTGAAACATTTTTAAATCATTTTCTATGACAAATGCTTGTTTCTAGTTTTGTCATCGAAAATTCTACATAGACATATTTCTTCATGCTCTTATGTGGGTGAATCAGAAAGTGAGATTATAGGGTCAAAGAATATCGAGTGTTGACAGATAAAGCAAAAACAGTAGTAAGAGTTTATACAGAACATTGTTTCAGTATACTGTCATTTATAAAACCAGTATAATATTCATCTTCTGTTTCTCTCCTCTGATAGGTGGACATTGACTACCAGCCCCCAACTGTAGTCCCAGGGGGGGATCTGACCAAGGTGCAGAGGGCCGTGTGCATGTTGAGCAACACCCCTGCCATCACTGAGGCCTGGGCCTGCCTGGACCATAAATTCGATTTCATGTATGCCAAGTCGGCCTTTGTGCACTGGTCCATAGGAGAAAGTATGGAGGAAGGCGAGTTTTCTGAGACCTGAGAGGAACTGACAGCACTGGAGAAGGATTATGAAGAGGTAGGCATGGATTCTGTGGAAGCAGAGGCTGAAGGAGAGGAATACTGAATGGAAGGCTGCAGGCAGCAGACAGTCCTGTCTTCCCATGGCTCATGCCTCGCATCAACGTGGCTGCCTTCAAGTTCTTTACAATTAAAATTTCTATATAAACCCCAAATGTCTGTTGTGCTGTTTGCCCACAGGACAGATTAGATCTAGAATGCTGGTTCAGGCTCCATGGTCTGCTCGGCTGGAATGGGGTGAAGGGACACAATGGACTAATGTGTGAAGAACCAGTACCATTGTGACTTGATCTGAGGAAAATCATATTGCTAATCCAATATTTGAACCATAAATAGTTAAAAATTTATAAAAAGCTCTCACTTTTTCATTTAATTTGCTGGTTGGGAGCTTCTTCATTGATAAAACACTTTGAATAAAGGAAACATACTTAAAAATGGAGGGATTGATGCTAAAGTCTATGAGTTAGGATTGTCTACAAAATCCCTAAAACTGAGCCAAATGTACAAAGCCTGTGACTTTTTTTTTGAGATAATAAATAAAATGTTTTATTCACAGAAATGCAAACTAGACAAAAAGGGCTTGTGAAGGTACTTTGTTGCTTTTCTTGAAAGGAAGCTGTGAAGTGCTCCTTGTTGGTACAGTGTAGAGTAGAGTGAATCCAGAACCCAGGCATTCACAAAGGCACTTCATTACTTTATGTGCTGTTACAACCACTGTGGCAGTGAATCTTCAGAAAATGTAAATGTATGTAGATTTGCAAGGTTAAGGAAGAACACATTGTTGTGTTGGCCAGTCAGCATTGTGTAAATTAGACTCAAAAATTTGAAATTTACTGTTATCTGAGATGCCTCAGTTTCAAAATTTCTGTATTTATGAATCCTAAGATTCCTCTATTTGAAGTATTTGTTTACTTTGTCTGGTCAAAAACAATAAACTCCAGAATGTGCTATTAGTTTTGAAAAAGACAATAACACAAATGTTTTTGGATTGGCATCATTTGTGCCCCTGATATAGTCCAAAGACCCCTGGTTATTACATGCTTTACAATTTCCTAGGATCCTATTTCTGAGCCAAATTACAAAGAAAACTCATAACAATAGAAATTCATAATAGAAATAACACCATGCCACCAATGTTCAATGACAAAGAATTGCTTGGCCAGCAGTCAACACACAGGAATGAGCATTTTACAATATTGTTCATGTATTAATCCCTTCAATTTATATTGAGGATAGCTGCAGGAAAAGGAGGAAAGAAAGAACTATAGCACAGGTGAAGGAAACTAAACATTATGAACGTATCATAGGGTCAGAATGGACTTTAAAAGTGAGTTTGAAGGACATTAAATGGTGGTTAGTTGGGTAATATTTTAGAATATTTTAATTAAATCACTGGCAAAGTCTGTGTTTTGAAGGAGATATCAAGTTCTGCATGGCATGCATGATTAAAGGTGGTCCACACACAGCACACCCAACTTGATGTCACTACCTATCATTTGGTGACAGTTCTCTCACTCTCTGCTCATATACTGCCTCTTGTGCCCAACAATAGCATGAGAAAGCAGTCCTGTAAGCATCCCTTCAAGGAGAGTCTTTGACCTTTATTCCTAAAATATCTACTAATATTTATTTTCAGATTTAAAGAAGGTCTAAGCAGGGAAGGTCACTAGTTGAGATCATTTTGGTTGGCCATAACATAACTAGTATTACTAGCAAATGGAACTCATACATGTTTTCCCATAGTGTGAATTGAATTTGGCATAGTATATTCCAAGCAAATATTTACCACTGAGATACTTCCCAAGTTCTTAATTTTTGGCACAAGCTCTTTTAAGTTGCCAAGCTGGGCTTAAAATTTCAAGCCTGCTTTAGCCTCCTGAGTAGCTGTAGTTAGATGCTTCTCTACCCTCAGCAATCTTTGTGTTTTAATACATCCAAAACTGATGAAGAATATCTTATATAGACTGCTCACATTTTTGAATAGATAGAAGAAAAGACATGTATCATCTACCGGTAGGATGATGTGCCCATCAGGCTGCGGAGCCCATCTCTGTACTTGTCCTGCATGTTACTATGAGAAGTGTTTTTCCCAAGTTCACTCACTGTGGCATCCTGGTGGCATTGAGCTGTTAAGGCATCCCCTGGCTGGGTACTGGCCAGCTGCCATGTTCTGCCAGTATGGCGGTTCCCACTGAGAATGGATCCACCTTTCAATATCCCTGAAAAAATAAGAGAAAAACTCAAGGGTCAGGAAGTGGGGCAAACTATATTGTCAGGGCACCTGGTGTATATGTATTCTTTGAGCAATACTCACATATTGCTCAACGTTTAAGCTCTTCTGGCCAGGTATCCCATATTGGCTGTGTCCTGATGTGCAGAATGCCTAAATTAGCAATTTAAGAGAAGGTCTTGAAGCGAGAAGAGGGTGTTTTACATATCCTGAGATCTGGGCAGGAATGCTTTGAAAAGTCACACACTATGTGCCGAGCAAGAGGAAGGTGAGCCCAGCTGGTCTTCTGCCCTGAAAAGCACGTGTGATGTGTCTGTCTCTCAACACAGGGATGAGGCAGAGGCCTCACTGACTGTTCTCCAGTGCACGTTCACACTGACCCATCATAACTGCCTCAATCAGAGTCTGATAGATAGGAAGCACAGCAGTCTGAGGACTGAACATATTTCTGGTTTTGGAATCTTTTTTGTACTTTTACTTCCTGACTAACCTTCAAACACTGTGGTCAGGCCTCTTTCTCTTGGATTTAGCTACTGATTGCATGATGGGTTTCCTGGTGAGGTTTGAATAATTGAAAGTGACTGCTAGGTGGTCACCAACTATATCTGCTCTTTCTTATATTCCTTGATCAATAGTTTGCTTATTCTCATAGTTTTTGTGAAGATAGAATAGACAATACGTACCCATGTGTAGGCCTGCTCACATCTAGATTCAGTCCTTCCAACATAGTCAGTTATAGACTCTTGTCTGGCCTGGGGAGGTCTTTCCTTCAGGCTTTGACCAGAGTTTGTGTCCCCTGTGGCCCGTTGTGCTTTGGGTCACTTGAAGCTAAGCTGAACCCTTTAGGCAGCTTTTTTTTTTCTTATGTATTTTAGGGAAGAGTATACAGGGTGTTCAGGGTCTCACAACTAGATCGGACTCCTAGTGATTCTCCTGTTTATAGCCTCCCAAATGCTGGGATTAGAGGTGAAGCAGGGCTGGCACAGCAGGCCCAGGAATTGAACCCCAGGCCCCTGCACCTGCTTACAAGCACTTTAATCCACTCAGGTATTTGGTCAGCCCTTTTTAGGCAGTTTTTGACACTGATCAATGGGTGTGGTATCGGCCAAAATACTGAAAGATCAACTATGTAGAAATGTCGAAAACAGCTGTGGCCACACCCACATTTCTGTACTGAGCCAAGCTCCTTGAATTTTATATAAACATGCCAACCATTCCATGGATATGCCTTAGGTGACATTTTCCTTCGCTGTCTGTATCCAAGACATGCTGCAGCCCTTCCATACAAACTACCTTAATACTTTGGGTTGATCACCCTGATACTATTTTTTTTTTTCATATACTATTGGCCTCAGTTTAGGATGTAGTTCATAGAAGTTCTTATATCATTAGTGAAAATAATTAATAGTAAACTGAGCACTTCTTTCATAGTTTTCTAGAACTATGACGAATGTAAGTACATTTCCAGAAGAAAGGTCTATGCAAATATGCGAGTTCTAGTCAGCCATGATCTTATACATCTGCATCCCAGCAAGAATGACTGCAAGTTTGAGTCCTGGCTGGGCAAATTAGACTTTGTTTCAAAACTAGAAACAAAAAAGTTACAAGAATGAATAAATAGAAAAATACTTATAGAGGATTGAGATTATAGAACAGTTGCAGTGTACCCCTGGATTCAATTCCCGGTACCACCACCAATATATAGTTTCAATACTAGAAATATAAAATTTGCAAAGGCTGGAATTTAATAAATCATTATGAAGCATGCATAAATCAAGTAATGACAAGAGCCAGCCAAATAGCTCAGTGGATTAAAGTGCCTGTAAGCAGGTGGTTCAATCCCAGGGCAAGCAGTGCCAACCCCACCCCCAGGGCACACTGAAATGGTGATTGAAATTGTGTGTGGTGGTGCATACCTGTAATCCTAGCTCTTGGGAGGCTGTAAACAGATGGATCACTATGAGTCTGATCTAATAGTAAGACCCTGAACACCCTGTAGACCCTTACCTAAGGAGGGAAAAAATCAAGTAATGGCATACAAGTAGAAAATTAATCTTGAAATCAAAGACCTAATATAGAATGTTAAAAATAACAATATTAGAACAGCTAATATAACCTGTGCTATAGGAGAAGCTAGTAAAAAAAAGTCCTAAAAGGTAAGAAAAATCTAAGTTAAAGTTATATAGAGTTGGAAATTTAAACGTTTTAAATAGAAAAATATAAGATGTGTTTGATACATATAGCATAAAAATTGTCTACATAAAATATAGAAAGAAAATAGTAAACAAAGCCCTTTGTGGGCTCAGGACACATTCTGAAGGCCTAAGTGATCAACATTTTCCAAATTTGATTCAACTCTAAACCTTAGACCTGAGAGTGTAGTAAGCCTAAGTACAAATAAATCCAAAAAAATGGAATCAGAAAACAGTCTAGTTGTTCTTAATTAGTGCTAAAAGAACATATTTTTTAAATGGACTGAAAAGACATTACACAGAAGGAAAATACTGATGGTGTCTTTCTCTTTGGAAAAAGTACAAGTAAGAAGGCTATGGAGCACCAAATAAAGCTCCAAAAGAAAAAATCCTCAAGATAGAAATCTATGCATAATAAAATATTTTTAAATATTTGTTCTGAGAAAATTTATTCTATAATAAAAGTTGATGTCTTTCAAAAAGAAAAGACTTATTCTCATTTCCAAAGAAAAATGTAGATATTTAGAATAGAAAAACACT